CTCTCCTCTCCTCTCTCCTCTCATTTGGAGGTGAGGTTTTTTCTAAACATCCCAACAATCCACTTTGCACTTTGGGTTGCCTTGGGTATGAAATGCTGTATATAAACCCAAAGCTACTCGAGTTATGTAGCTGTGGGCTGATTTAAAAATACATCTTGGGTGTATTGTGTACATCTCTTAAGCTAACTTTCTACTGTTTACATGTTTGATGATTTTTTTTTGTATTTTTATTGGTTTATTTTTTGGCCTATGATCCATTCAGAGAGGATCTGTGGAACAGCTACAGGGGTGCATTGTTTTCTTCACATGTGAATAAACCAAAGAAAAACAGATTTAACTCCCCAGAACCCGCTCAAGCCACGTTTTGTTTATCTGGTTACACTGAAGGATCTTTTTCCATGTTTAGGCCAGACTGAATGACTCACAGGCTTTAGTCTAAATGTTTAAAATCATAGCGCTTCACAGGTAAACCATAGGCTTTCTAAAGGGAAGGAAACGAGGCGTCTGCTTGGCCTTATGTTGGTTAAAACGCCACTTAAGTTCAATGGACCATCAAACATAAATTGAGTTACCTTCTGCAGTCTCATCTTAACCTTCTCATAGAAAAAAAAATCAATGTTGCCATTTATTTAAAGCTCCCGAAAAGCATATCATGTCCATCCAGTTTCTCCAAACAGCTTGTGCAGCATAATGCAAGTGGTTATTTTCTGTACTGTCCCTTGTGCACTCCAGTACTCCAATGTAAAAGTAGCAAAACCACACTGTAAATATAGACGAAGTCCTGTGTTGAAATTGTTGGTAAATTGTATCAAAATGAAACATACTAATGCAGAAATATCATACAATATTATTATATCACTATTATTTATGCATTAACGTAAAAGCAGCATTTGAATGTTGAATTTTTGAATATTTCATATACTTTTGGGCAGTTTAATCTATAACAATGAGTCACATTTTATCAAATGATGGCATGTTTCATATGTTGAATCTTGATTTGTAAAGTAGATAAATGTAATGGAGTAAAAAGTAAAATTTTTACCTGTGAACTATAGTGGATTAAAGTGGCATCATATGGAAATACTTCTTAAGTTTCTTAGTAAATCACAGCTAAACTTTGAGGTGAGGTTGTTTTGTTGAGTCCTGTTTCTAAGGTCAAGAATAAACCTTGAACCCTGAGCTTTTAAACCTAAATGACCAAATGCTCTTCAAATGCTCTGCAAAGAAATAATCTGAAATAATTCCTCTGTGATAACTGAAACTCCATCTGCATCTGATACGATCAAAAGTTCCAGAGCTGCTACTGAATGGACTCAAACCTGCGAAGTGCAGGACTCAAACCTTCATCCAATCATTCCTCCAAGGAGAGCAGGTTGTGTGATCTCATTTGTTTCTTAATTAATCTGTTGTCGATGACCAAATATTGACTGACTTAACACTTCTTCCAGCAGGAAGACACCTGTTGACTTTGGTTACCTAATTACCTTTCCTCTATCGCCACCATCAGGGCAGACCTGTTCTTCATTGACAAGTGCATCTTCTGACCCATCACTCACAAACACACAGTGTCATATTGCAATGTTACGCCGTCCACCTGAAATCAGTTTACTGATGTGCAGTCATTTCCTGTAGTTGTTGAGGATGGAAATAATTGGACTTGTTCCCGACCTGCAGGTTTGGACCACCCAGTGCGTCCCAGGATAATTCTGAGGGGTCACAAAATTATTAAAAAACACAAGAAAATAAATATTCTTTATTTCTGTAGCACAAAACTGTGTTTATTTTTTCTTACTTTTGTCCATTTTTGGCTTTTTTCTTTCTCATTTTAACTTCTTCATGTCTCCAAAAGTCCTCCAAATCAAACAATCCAAGATGGAAGAATCTTTTCTCTTTGGTTGAGTTGCAAATCACAAAGTTGTACATGATGCCTTCAGCATCAACATCAGCAGTACTTTATTGGGGGTATACATTAATAACACATTCAGCCACATTTGCTATTTGCTTTTCTGTTTTTCTACGTCCTGTGACCCTGTGTGGAGGGAGGCACCTTCACGTCCCACAAGGTTGAGGGCAGGAAGGGATAATCAGGTATATTTAACACTTTGACTCTACAGAGACCAAACGCAGGTGACCACCCACTTCTTCTGGCCACTGAACGACTAAAAATAACATCCAGTGCCTGTTACGAAATAAAACCTTTACAGGGGCAGCGCAGCGTAGCTTCCAGGCCATGTTCTTGTTTTAATTATAGAAACCTAATGAGCACAATGTCTTATGCACAATCTTTGCCCACTTTTGGAAAACCCCCCTCCCTTGTTCAACCAGATTCCACATTTTCCACATCCACATTTCTTAGAGACCTCCAGTTTTTATTCCTGGTCATTAAGTCTAGCCATGGTTTTAAAAGGAGCCCTAAGCCACAGGATTTAAGCTAACATTCAAATTACTAAGCTTTGCATCCATGCACTCCGAACCTAAAATGTACACATATGCAGTAAGAAAAAAACACTTTCTACATGTTAAAGAAAACATCTGTGCCCAGTTTAGCCCTGATGCCCACCCAGTATTTAGAAATCTTCTGCAACAAGCTGGTCTTCCCATCAGCCTTGTCCAGTCTTGTTTTCCTTCAGGACTCTGGTTTCACTGCCCCCGGGTCCACCTACAGTCATGTTTCTCCTTTCTACTCGTGGGCCTTCAGAGCTGCCGGCTGAGCTTCTGCGCCTGCCTCTCCTTGGCATTAAAGGCATATTTTGTGTCCTGTAGCTGGTCTATAATCTCCTTGGCTTCCTTCATCTCCACAGCGAGCTGGTTGTACTTCTCCACCAGCTCCTGGTTCTCCCTCCGGAGCTCCACCACCAGCTGGCTCAGCTCCTCGCTCTGCCTCCCGCAGTGCATCTTCAGCTGCTCCATCTCCGAGAGCGTCTCCTCCATGCGCTTCACCAGGCCCTCCAGCTTGTCCTTAGACATCTCTGAAGTTGGTTGATTCACCTTTGCAGGGTTTTTTGTTCTTTGTGGCAGAGCTTTGTGTCCTTTCTCCTGCGCTGTGGAGTGTCTGTGCTTGTTGCTTGTCTGCAGCGATTATTGAAGTCTTAATATCCCTCCCTGCACACTAATCCCCTTAGCAGAGCTATCCTGGGAAACCTGTAACGCACATAAGTGTGACACACAACCACAATGTCTCCTGCTTAAGTCCCCTCCATAGAGGATGAAAGTGATTGGCAGATTACCTCAGTTCACGCTATAGTCTAGTAGTGAACAAGCTTAAAGGTCTACAAAGAAATGTGATGCCTAATTTAACATCTGCAAGGAGAGAAACAAAACAGAAACAGAAGATTCAAATTTCTTTCAATGGGGGATTCTTCATCACTGGGAAAAGTCTTGAAGGAGGTTTAATCTTTTCTGGGAAAGCAGCCCAAACAGCTTCAAGTGCATGGTGTAACCTAATCTGAACATAACAGGTGTCTGGAATAGATGCTAGAGAAGCCTTATGGAATTAACTCTGTAGTCGTTCACCAGCAGGACTCACATGCCAGAATGAGGCCTTACTGAGGGCTTGTTAGGTAAGTCACAGTATGAGGCTAAACATTCTGGGTAAACTGCCATACTGTGCCACTGTCCCGGCCTGCCAGGCCAAACGGTCCCCATGGTGACAGCTAATGCGTCCAGCGCTCCAGGCGACGTGCCAACTGAGCCTGTCAGCCAGTTGGCATCGGGGGACGGCGAGCGCGGGATGCCAGTGTACCAGCACGCCGAGGAATTTCCACAATGTTCCCACCGTCTGCAGAAAATGCTGTGCGTCAATTCCCCAGGCGGGTTTGTCCACTGGGAATTAGACAGCAGCGTTTCGTAACTGCGTTAAAGTAAAAAAGCAGTTACTTCCTGACCTTTGACCCCTGTTTGGAGGGGGCGAATGAAAAGAGAGATGTTGTTTGGTGTTGTGTCAAATACGCAGTACACAACACCAAGGTGGAATGTAACTAAATGAATTTACTTAAGTACTGTACTTAAGTACAATTGTGAGGTACTTGTACTTGAGTATTTCCATTTTCTGCTATTTTATACTTCTACTCCACTACATTAGAGGCACATTTTGTATTTGTACCAAACCATATAAAATTACTTCCATCTGCAACATTTTGCTAGGACGCACATGCGTGACCAAGAATGTTCTTTAAGAGAATTACCTCTGCATTATTTATGTCTGCAACCATGCAACCTAATAGTATAGCATTTATTTTAGCACATAGTTTGTGAAAACCCTTAAGAGAGTTAGTTCAAAAATATTCATTGAAATGTATTTGTGTATTGCAGTTGGTGTCCACTCTTTTCATTGATGATTTCCTGCAGCGCTGTAACACCGATGAACTGTGAACGGGGTTACATTGTGCTCTCCTAGTACTGGACACACCCATATTTTGATTTACAGTTAAACTGAGTTAAAGCCCCACACAGTCACCACCACCACCAGCACCACAAGTGCTATATTGTGGTCCACACTGGTTGCACACACTGAGAAAAATACAAATGAAAGACTTGAGAATCGGTCAGCCTCAAACAAAACAAACAAAAACAAGGGCATTTTAAGTTTCTTTATTTATTAAAAAACAAAATCTGAATTGAATAACCTTGCATAACACACATATGCATGTGAAGGACAGAAAAAAAGCCAGTCACCCAACATATTCCCTAAAAATAAAAAGGGAAAGAAAAAAGACTCAGAACAAATATTACTTTATTGTTCCCTCTTGGTTTCTTCTCTGCAAGCATGAATCTTGAGTGCAACAACGACAAAAGAGCAATCAGTGCGGCTCGTCCTCCTCCAACAGTCTGCATTGTCTCACATATGAGGAGCCAGAGTTTGGGTTCTTACACATTTCATTCAAGATCATTATTTCTTTTGACCTTGATTTAAAGTTTTTGGTTTGTTTTTAAACTCGATTAAAATAGCCAGTTAAGCAAATAAGGCTCGGTAAACCAGAGATTATGTTTCCAAAAAAAAATCACAAATTCAAGTATCAGATTAAACTAAATCTACAACTCCCTCATTCATCAGGAACTTTTCCTCAATGCACACACAGACTTTCTGTCAAAGCTTTTTGTTTTCACACTTTCACCTCAGATTTTGCTTGATCTGTGTACGAACCCTGTTCACATTTACCCCCATGATTCAAAAAGTACAAAGTTTCTCTTCTGCATATCTTGAAGAAAAAAAAATCTGTGTATAGTTGAAATAATTAGTTTGATGTAGCATAGTTCCAGACAGCACCAGGCGAGCGTCATGAGGGCAGCTATAGCCTAAAGGTTCAGAGTTTGTGACCAGATGATCACAGGTTACAATCCCTGGACAGGTTGAAAAAAAACAAAAAAACAAAATCAAATCTCAGTCAGGGAAGAGAATGAAAAGCACATTTCTGTCCCACAATAACAATAACAACAACTACTACTGAAATGCCCTTGAGCAAGGCACTGAACCTCCAACCGCTCCAGCAGAACTGCTCAGTGGCTGACAGTACGTGACTGACATGGCAGGCAAGTCTCAGGTGTGAGTGTGTCAGTGTGTGTGTATGTGTGTGAACTCTCCTCCCTCTGCAGGCTACGAATTCAAAAGGTGATTTAAGGTAAAAAAAATTAGCGGCAGAAAAACATGATGAAATCTCTGATGAGTCAGTGTCATAATAATACTCATATTTTAATTCTAGAGACGATAAATTCTTCCACTTTTCCCCCCCTGTGGGAAAGATTCACGTGTTTTCAACATCCTGTTCGGTGTCGATCTTTCCGGGTGTAAATGGCTCCGGCTTCAGAGCTTTGGTTTTAGTGTCTAAAGTGGAAAAAAACACAACCCACATTAACCATTCTTAACAGCGGTGAGGAAAGCACGTCTGGTGACTGACAGCTCAAACACAATCAAACTACACATTTACCAATCTATTATCAATATCATCAGAGAGTGTTCATTATTCGATGAAGGCTTTTTTTTAAATCTTGGATTTAGTTTCAGGGTGAGGGGGGCGGGGGCGTGGCAGCACACGAGTCGTAAAAATGAAGACGTCTGATAAAAGTCTTTGAAGGAAGATTTAATGAAACCGTCCCCCTTCACTCAACAGCTACCGGCCGAGGTGTCCCTGAGCAAGGCACCTACTGTAGAACCCCCGGTTGAAGAAGACTGTGGTTGTACTGGGCAGCTCCCAGGTATGAATGTGTGAATGTGAAGCAGGGCGCTGCTGAAAAGGAGCAGGCGGAGCTCTTGTGAAGCCTCCCTGGATAAATAAAAGGTCAGATATTCCCACTAACTTCTCTCAGTTTGGATGGAGCCTGAGACTGGTGATCGACGATTTGAAGAGGAGTTCCCAAGTCGAGCTAGAAATGTCACTTCTTGGTTTAAAACGGAAATAAAATATTTAAGAACAGCTGTAGTGGGGAATACCCTCCCTTGGCGCCGGAAAAAGAAAGGCAGAACAAAAACAACTTGTGTCCCGTCATCATGAGTTCTTAGGAGAGGATGTGGAGGCGGGAGGGGCCCCTGCATCACCCTTTGTTCCCCGGCTGTTAAGGGACCGCTCTCGTGTTGTTGGCCGGAGGGCTATGTGGGTGAGGGTTATCAGGGCAGCGTCCTGCTAAATGTAGAATTGGTGTAGCGCCAGCTTGTCCATAAAGGGCTGTACCAAGTTGTCTGTGGCGAAGTAGAAGACCAGGCCGAAAAAAATCGAGATGGGCAGAGCGGGCAGAGCTTTCTTGAAGATGGCGAGGAGGAGCAGGGTCAGACACAGGCCCTGCGGGGGCACAGGCAGGCAAAATAAAACACAAGCTTATGTACCAAACAAAATCAGCCCTGAGGGGGGAAAAGGAACTGTTACACAATCAAGTGGTTGACATAAAGTAGGGTTAGATATTGTGCTGAGAGACAGAGATGAGGCTGCGGTGACTCGAGCATGACACCAAAATAAGCAGCTGTGGTCACTCACAATGAGAATGGCCACGAAGCAGGCGAGCGTGGTGTTCCAGTCACCGCTGGCTGTGGCCGAGGCCTTTCCCACCAGCATGCTGTAGAAGATGAAGTCTCCGAGGCCCAGCTTGACGCCCCCTGAAAACACAGGAGGACACCACATTCAGGGTGGAGTCAATTCAAACACGAAATCCGCTTCAGCCGCACGCCCTCCAACCCCCATAGAAAGCTTTTCTCAGCTGTAATTACTGTACAAACACGAGCTCCGACCCCATATTTACCGAAGCTTTATGTTGAAAATGAGCGCAGGCCCCCGAAAAGTGCGGACATGAAACCTAGCAATTGCCATGAATAATCGCTTCCTAATCTGCTCTGACTAAAAACAGTCTGCAGCCAAACATGTAGGTCGTGTTCACATACACACTAATTTCACAGAGAAGGGTACACATAAAAACATTCCCAAAATGTTTTATATGTTCGGAGAAGAGAGAACTGAAAGATGATGATTACACACTGAGAGGAAGCGCTCTCTGGGAATTCACGAGTTAGAATTACAGAGCTCGGCTGCGTATTGGGGCTAAGAGGTACAACTAAAATGATCATAATGTATAAGTACATAGTATATAATGCAGTTTTTACCCCCCAACACATGATTCTGATGATAATAGAGGATTTTTAGTGCATAAAGAGATACATTGAAGGACAGACAGACAGCTGTATATGAAAGATAAAAGCTTCCATTAAGACAATAAAAATATTAAAGCTGCTATAATCCATATTTCTATATCAACAATTGATAAAATGATGTGTAGTTAGAACCCAGAATCTGTAGTTTCTCTCAGCTCTACGAAGCGTTTCAGTTCTTTTAACTCATTGTTTGGCTTTTACAGCTCGCACCTTTTCTGTTTTGGTTCACTCTCAGTGCGCTCATCAGCAGGCAGCGGTGTTCAAATAAACACCTCTAAAACCCGTAATTAAGCAACTAAAATCTTTCCTCATACAAAGAGAGGCATCTGTCTGGTTCTGTGCCGAGCTATTTAATAAGTCATACAATGGACAGCATATCCATATCCATTCCTCTGTGGATTGTTGTTCGGAGAGAGTCTTTTACAGAACTGCTGTCAGTGACTGTAATGTAACTAAATGGAAGGCCTAAACAATTGATCACAGGGATAATTCACTCCAGCAGAGAGATCTGTCATAACCTGAGGCATATTAAAGAACTAGGGTTTATGCTGGGCAACAGGCTCTCAAGCTCCACTGACAACAGTTATAAAAGCCTTCTTCAATGTTCAGAATATAGTGCACCTGTAAAACTCCTCAACACAAACTCTTCCAAACACCAGCAAACTTTGTTAGGATACAACTGTCGGGTTGATGAAAATGTTAAACACTCGGCTGTCTGCACTCACTTTCCTCGTCGTCGTCTTCAACAGGAGGACGAGCGGAGGGCATCTCCTGGACCTCTCGTCTGGTCTGTTCGGTGGACTGGAGCGGCCCCAGCTGGTGCTCCTGCTGGTTGACCCAGGTGGAGGAGAAGCCTCCGTCGTCCTGTGACAGAGTGGAGGGAGCCGGGGACGCCACGGCTGCAGACGAGAGAAAACAGGCAGACTAAACAACAAGCGCACTGTTTGAAGGGTAACCACTAGATCAAACATCACTCAATCACTTGGAGCAAACACTTCTGACGCCCCGCTCACCTTCTGGAGCCTCTTGTTGAGGTGATGCTGCTTCTGTCGAGTTCCTTTTCGGCCTGTCAGTGTCGGCCATGTTGACGAGCCACACCATTGTAGCTGGGGAAGAAGTCAGAGAGTCGAAATATTAAGGTGTCAAGATTTGTGTCCAATCCAACATAAAATAGAAACTTGAATGCCTTAAAATGTTGATTCTTTGAAGATTTGAAGAAGTAAAAAGTGTTGAAAAAAAGTTTATATTTCAGTTGATTTGTGAGCACTGAAAGGAGCTGAAGAGCCAGTTGAAGTGAAAGTGCTGAATAGGGTTTAAGAGTCATTTAAAGTAAAAACTCTAAAAGTGGCTGAAGTCAAAGCACTGAATATAGATTTAGTGTCACTTTAAGTGAAAGCACAGAAAAGAAGTCAGATTTGAAGTTGATGTTTAACCACTTAGAAGTTGACTTGTAGACACTTGTAGCACTGAAAGAAGTTTAAAAAGGCCTGACTGAATGTTTAAATGACCATTAAAGTGGCATATATCTAAAGCATATAATAGAATAATAGATTTATCTGCAATTCATTTTTGAAACTGGTTGTTTTACTACAACAAAAACTATGTCTACAATCAGTGTCTGTCTTACAAGAGTAGATGAGAGCTGGAAAGATGGGTTCGTTCCTCTCCTGAGCCGTCTCCACCAGGATCCTCAGAGGCCCTTTGGGACAGAGCACCGCTAACAGATCTGAGAGAGGACAGGGGGAAGAAGAAAGAGGCCAGACAAGTGATGTTAGCCACCAAAACAAAAGGCTCTGTGAAAGACCAAAAACAGCAACCCTGACATGACATCTCTGATAACAAGAGGCACAGACTAAAGTGAAAGTACAGTTTCTGGCTCTGGGTGGTTATCACTGCAAAAAGAATACAGAGCCCATTAACAGCCCGCAAAACACTCTTTGTTCTTCTCTAAAAGTGCACTGTATTTCCCAGTATGTATGAGCCACTCCAGACTGTGATCTGATATCTATTTTCACTAAACTGCAGTTGCCAGTTAAAGGTTTCTTCTTGGAAGAAGAACTCAACAGAAACAAGAACTGTCACTGTCTACAAACTAGAAACTCTTGCAGTGAAACATATGTTGGATATACTCCATCTTTGTCCCTGATAGCCTGTGTGCATCGTCTTCGAGCCACTGATTTACACACCAGTGACAGCAAACTTAATGTACCTTCAGGGTTCCCACTCCTTTTTAAGAATCTTTTTCCAAGGAACGTTCCAGTACAAATCCACACAAACAAACACTTGGTCACAGTCATATAATTTACTTCAGTTTTATGCCTCATTTTTTAACAATAGAGGATGTGTCTCAGGTTCACACGGTTCACAGGTTCTCAAGATCACTGCAAGTCCGTTCCACTCACACTTAGACTGTCCAGTTTCAAACTAAATATGCACCTAGGTTTATGAAGGCAATCTGACTGAGGGGCTAAAATACAATCTGAAAAAATCAGCACAACAGAGATTATTTCATTTAAATGAATTTCCAGGTGTTTCCCTGACTGGAACACTAGTCTCTATATTTACAGATCTCCATCCAGGACGTGTGGGAACTCTTCCCTTTTATTGACCTATAAAGTTATATTTTGGGAAGTGTATTAATTATTTACTACTTGAACGGTAAGGAAGTAGCCAGAGTGCCTGTATGACTGATAGCTAATCCATCTAAACCCCTTTCAGGTGTGTCAAGAGAAAAATATCATCATTTTTTTTGACAAATTGTGCACTGCAACCACGTTCTGCTCGCATGTTGGCAGTTTTAAGTTCAGCTTTCTTTCTTTCTTTGTCTACCCCCAGACTTCCTTTTCTCACAGATTTGTCTTTCAGCACACATTTCCTTCAATATTTTGTCTAAATGTTTCAGGTGTTGAGACGCATCCTTCCTTTTAAGACGCCAATACTTTAAAATAGTGTTTATGTTAAAAGTTTTACACGTTAAGTTTAGCTTCCTTTTTATGATCGTACAGAATGTTGTATTGAACACATTTTTAATTTTCCCTTTTCTTCCTCAAGCACTAAAAGGAACCAGATGACTGAATGCTGGTGCACGAAATCTTCAAAGGTTGAGGAAAAGCTTCATCTTTCTTCCCTAAAGGTACACACAGGTCAAGAGAGCGAGGAGGATTTACCGTAGACAGATATAACGGCTAATATGAGCCAGGCGGTCCACTCTGGCAGGTACTTGATGAACACCAGGGCCATGAGGGCGCTGATCATGATGAGGTAGGCCTGCTGGAGCCGCAGCGGTCCTTTCCAGTGAATACACATCATGCCCACCACTCCGAAGTTCCAAATTATTAGCGCCAGGGTGAGGAAGTCCATGGCCACATTGTAGGTCTTAAAAACCTCTCTGGTGGACGGAGCAGAGACAGGACAGACATACCAATCAGTCAGTGTAAAGGATATTACAACACGACACGTATGGGAACCATGGAAAATCAAGATAAAATGTTGAGGGGCGTGGCTTACTTGAGGTAGATGTAGGAGAAGAAGAACAGCAGGAGGAGGGAGGAGAGGAAGAGCCAGCCTTCAATCACCTGTGGAGGCAAAGATCAGAGTCGTGGGTTTAAAAGTACAACACCGTGTCCACAAATACGTGTAAATACTTGTCGCTTACTGGTGTTTGTTTTAAACTACCTGGACGACCAGGCTGGGTGGGGTTACAACAGAGGGCAAAACAATGAGCATCAGCGGGTTTGGAAAATGTGAAAACCCATTATGTGCCCACCTGTCTGCTGCTTCAGCTGTTTGGTTTAAACAAGAGCTCAGTGAGTTTGAGATTTGAATCATTAACTATTTAGAGCCAAACTGCTATTATTTTAAAAGCCCCTACAGTGCGTCGTTTGCCTGATTAACCTGCTCTCAGGACAGAGCAGGTCTCGGTTTTAGTGTGCTGCACCTCCTTAGACAGAAACACTTAAACACACCTAATAACATTAGCAACAGCTCTTTTACGATAATGTGTCCCTGTGAGCCATGACCGTGTGCCAGCATGCAGAAAGAACAGCAGAGAACAGGGGGTTGGGAACTGGCACACCTAAATGGAACAAAGCCATTTCACTAGTAGGTACACCTGCGCTCGGCAAGTCAAAAGTCCCCTGTGAAAATGGGTCTATTAGTACATGGAGTCCAGCATAACTCCATCTAATAGGTCTAATGATAGAGGGGGAAACACCGTGGCTGTGTTTGAAACCACTCCCTTCCTCACTAGATAGCGCTTTATATTGCATGTGGGCTTACTAGAGCAACTTTTTTTAATAATGTACCCCCTTTTCAAATGTTTTTTTCCCACAAAGACCCCATGACAAAACATTTCTGGTAGAAAAAACAGACATAAAAAGGATACAATACAACCCTGCACCAGCAGTTACTGATTTATTAAAACAACAACCTTGTAACTGTAAAAGCACACAGCCTTGAGAGGGCTGCAACTCACTGAGGTAAACCCTGTTAAAACACATTCTTCCTGACACCGACAGTATTTTGTTGGCTCTCTCTTTCACTTCCTTCTCCGTGGTTTCAGTCGTATCGCTGCTACGCTTCAACCACAAATCAATTTTCTTGATTCTCATCTGTCTGTCAATACCAAAACTGGCTTCCCGCTCACAGTGAACAAACAGCCTCGTGGATGTTATTGTGTTTGTTGCTTTCAGCAGT